AGCCCGGCGCCGGAAGAAGTACCAGATCCGAGGGCCCGCGGGGAACCGCCGTGTATACCACCTGAAAAGGCGCGAATCCTGTGGCCCGGATGACCGCCGAGTTGTGAGCAAACTCCGCTTGAGGCAGGCGCTGGTCCCAAGTCCGAATATTATCCCCCACGAGGCAGCGAAGGAGATTACCCAAAGAACGATTGACCACCTCAGTCTGGCCATCCGTTTGGGGGTGATAAGCACTGCTAAAATCGAGCCTGGTGTTTGCCATACGCCACAGGCTCTTCCAGAAGTAACTCAGAAAGCGCGTATCCCGATCAGAAACAATTGCCGATGGTAGTCCATGTAGGCGATAGATCTCACGGAAAAAAAACTGGGCGACATGCACAGCATCCGTCGTGCGCTTGCATGGAATAAAGTGAACCATCTTCGAGAAACGTTCCACCACGACGAATATGGAATCGAAACCACGTTGGGTACGAGGAAGACCCAGGACGAAATCCATACTGATAGAAGACCATGGTGGAGTCGGAATAGGGAGGGGCCGATATAATCCAGCGTTGCTCGCCACTCCCTTCGACACTTGGCATACACGACATCGCGCCACAAAACGAGTCACATCACGCCTCAAGCTCGGCCAAAAGTAGGACCGACCCACGAGCTCGACGGAGCGGTCGCGGCCCACGTGGCCCGCGCTATGCAGATCGGCGATTAGACGCAGCCGAAGACTCACGTCTGGAATGCACAAACGCGAACCCTTGAACAAAAAGCCATCTACCAGAGAATAATCATCAAAGGGTCCACGGGCAAGAGACATGAAAATGGGGCCAAAGAATGGGTCATCCGCATAAGCGTCCCGAAGAACATCAAAACCGACGACGGAGACCCGCAGATCCGTGAGAAGCATCGTGCGCCTGCTCAAGGCATCCGCCACCCGATTCGACGCCCCCGATCGATGGCGAAGCACAAACGTGAACTGCTGTAGAAAAGCCGTCCACGAAGCATGACGCGTCGATATGTGATCCTGAGAAGCCAAGTGGCGCAACGCCTCATGATCTGAAAAAAGAACGAACTCTCGGTGAAACAGATAGTGTCGCCAATGACGAACGGCACGCACGACTGCATAAAACTCCACATCATACGTGCTGTACCGAGTGCGTGGCCCTGTGAGCTTCTCGCTGAAAAACAAAACCGGGCGACCATCCTGGCTAAGGACGGCGCCGATCCCAACCTTCGACGCGTCACACGAAAGCTCGAAGGGGCAGTCAAAGTCGGGCAATGCAAGAACCGGGGCTGACGTTAACCGCGCCTTGATAAGCTCAAAAGCCTCCTCAGCACGAGGCGTCTAAGAAAACACCTTCCCCGACATGCAATCAGTAATAGGGGCCATAATCGAGCTGAAATGATGAATAAAGCGTCTATAGAATGAGGCTAACCCGTGAAAGCTCCGTGCCTCAGTAAAAGACGTAGGCGAAGGCCAATCGCGAATAGCCGCCACCTTCGACTCGTCCACCCGAATGCCATCAGCAGAGATAAGGAATCCCAAGAAAACGACTGAGCTCACCAGAAACACACACTTCTTCGGGGCGGCATAGAAAGACTCCACCCGAAGGATCCCCAAGACAGCCCGGACATGCCCCAAGTGCTCCTCAAGCGTCCGACTATAGATGAGAATGTCGTCGAAATAAACGACGACACACGTGCCAATCAAATCCCGGAGCGCCTGGTTCATGACGCACATGAAAGTACTAGGGGCGTTAGATAAACCAAAAGGCATGACGAGCCACTCAAAAAGACCCTCACGAATCTTGAAGGCTGTCTTCCACTCATCCCCTGGCTTAATACGAATCTGGTGATACCCACTCCGAAGGTCCAACTTGGTGAAGATAGTGGCACCATGAAGTTGGTCGAGCAAGTCGTCTAAACGAGGGATCGGGAAGCGATAGCGCACCGTAATCCGATTAATCGCTCTGCTGTCGACACACATACGCCACGCCCCATCCTTCTTCGGAATGAGAAGGGCGGGGACCGCACACGGACTCAAGCTCCGAAGTACGACCCCGCGCTGCAAAAGCTCCAAGTCTCCTATTCCTAATAATATTCCTACTAATTATCTTGTTAGGCAAGATAAAGATTTAATTTCCTAATTAAAGCAAACAACTAAAGAAACTAAATAAAAGATAATTAGGAAACAAATAATTAAATAATAAATAATAAATAATAATTATTTATACGCGAAGACGGTCGTATTTCTCCAGAAATGCTAGCGCGGCCTCGTCTTCATCAATATCCCTGCTGACCAACTAGTAGTGGTGGTGCACCATATACCTGTTGACCAACCGGTACTGGTGGTGATATCCCCTCTGACCAACTGGTAGAGGTGGGCCACCATATCCCTGCTCACCAATCGGTATTAGAGGTGTCTAGAGTCTCGAACTGCCTGCCTGGCCAGTCTGTATCCTTCGAGCATCTTCGATAATGATCTGTCGATCCCGACGAGTGGACGCATTTATACCCCGACGTTTCGTGTGTCGGGGTCCAGAACCGTCAATATACTCATTGAACTCGTCGTCGTCCCTAGCAGATTGTCCAGGTCTAATAATACCCTAAATCACCAATTTAAAATAAAAATTAGTAAATATAATTTTTTTAAAAAAAATTGTAAATATTTTTTTAAATTAAAAATTGATTAATTTACTTATAATAACATCTTAAGAACTATTAATCAATTTGAAATTTAATATTGTAATAACTATTATAATATTAATTAACTAATATTATAATATACACTACTTTTTTTTTAATTTTTATAATTAATATTTTATTATTAATTACATTTATTTATAATTTTTTATTTATTAATATAATATTTTTTTCTTTTAGATTATAATTATTAAAGTAATATTTTTTAATAATCTTTAGTAATTTCTTATTATTATAATAATTCATTAATTTTTAATCAAATAAATTATTTATTTTTTGAATTTATAATGTTAATTAACACAATTATTTTAATTTTTATTTAACAATATTTATTTTTTAAAATTTTTTATTATAACAATTATTAATATAATTATTTTCATTATTTATTTATTAATATATTATATCAAAAAAAATTTGTTCGGCCGGTCACGGGGGGGCCGATTCTTTTCACATCCGTCCGGCCCCCAAAAACAGACATGAAGTGTTGCGTTCGGCCGGGTCGGGCCGAACGCAAAAAGGGGCGACCGGTTGCTGTGACCGGTCGCCCGCGGGCCGTACGGGATCACCGACCGTACGGCCCGAGCCGCGTCCAGATGCGCCGACCGGACGCGGCAACAAATTTTTTTTAAATATATTTTAATTGTAAAAAAAAAATTACCTTGCTAGAGTAGAATGCTTTGCCTTTACCGTAGGATTTTGCGACATTTTTTCAGAATTGTTTTGAAGCTCGAATCATTCTTTGAAGTCTCGGGAATTTAAAGAGAAAGAAAAAGTAGAGAGAGAGAGAGAGAGAGAGAGAGAGAGAGAGAGAGAGAGTAGAGAGATAGGGCTAAGGGCAAAAATATAAAAGAAGGGGGGGGTGCGGTGACTAGTAAAAGAGGGGCGGTAAATAGCGATTCACTTAAGACCTCCTTCCCAGCAGCTGACAAAAAGCCAGACTTCCAATTAACCAATCTCTTTCTGACAACCTCAATTACATAGTCAAAAACCTTCTTTTTGGATTTACCAATCCCAAGAGGAAGATCCAAGTACCTAGATGATCTTTGTACTTGGATCCCCTGTAAGATATGGCAGATGGAATTCAGGACCACAGAGTTAACACTTTTACAGAAGAATATTGAAGATTTGCCAAGGTTAATCTTTTGGCCTATGAAACTCTGGTACTTGGCCAATAAATTGATCAGTAATAGAGCATGATTCTCATTAGCGGCACAGAAGAAAAGCACATCATCAGCAAACATGAGGTGACTTACCTAGGGACCAGTCCTTCCTATTCTCAACCCCTGAAACATCCCTCTCTCATTCACATTAAGAACAAGTTTAGAGAGCATCTCTGAAACCAATATAAAGATGTAGGGGGACAGAGGGTCCCCCTGTCTCAATCCTCTAGAAGCCTCCACATTTCCTTTTATATCACCATTAATATTAAAAGAATAGGTAGAAGAAGATATACAAGCCATCACCCATTTCACAAATTGGTAATGAAACCCCATTCTATCCACGATTTTAGTGACACACTTCCATTCAATCCTGTCATATGCCTTCTCCATGTCAACTTTAAGAGCCATGAACCCTACTTTACCCTTCATGTGTCTATTCAGATAGTGTACAGCTTCATGTGCAATTATAACATTGTCTAACAGTTGTCCCCCAGGGATGAATGCACTCTGGTTGTGACTAATGCACGAATTGAGACACTGTTTCAGTCTAGTTATAATGATTTTGGATATAATCTTGTAAGAAACACCACATAGACTGATAGGCCTATAATTCCCAAGAGAAGAAGGGTTCATACATTTAGGGTAGAGAGATATCAAGGTGTGATTCCAGCTTTTAAGAATTTGACCAGAAGAGAAAAAGCTAAGGACAACTTCACACAAATCAGCTTTAATAGTGTCCCAGAAAAATTTAAAGAATAATGGGGACATACCATCCTGGCCCGATGCTTAACTGCCCTTATCTCTTATTTATACACTGGGGCAATAAGATCTGCATTCTTTTATGATGATATGACAGGCTGGATAAGTTGCAGAATTTCATCCTCTCTCTCAGAGCCTTCAAAAGAAAAAAGATTAGTGTAATAGTTTCTGATGCATCTCTCAATGTCAAGTAGTGTCTCCCAGGTGTTACCTTCCTCATCCTTCAGGCCTTTGATAGTGTTAGCCTTTCTTTTTTGGACTGTGGATACATGAAAGTACCTAGTATTAGAGTCCCCTTCCTTCAACCACTGGTTTCTGCCTTTTTATTTCCAGTATTCTTCTTCTTGGAGGTTAATTCTGTCCATGGCACTTCTCAACCTCACCCACTCCTCCCAATTCCTGTTGGCCTCCTGAGTGCTTAGCATTTCCAATCTCTCATCTATCCTCCTTTTGGCATCAATTTCTTCTTTTCTAAAGAGACTACTCCATTTCAGTAAGGTCACTTTAGTTTCTTTCACCTTCTCTGTGACTTGGAACATGGGGGTCCCAGTTTTTTCTATGGCCCAAGCCTTGGCAACCACCTCCTTTATCCCATCTTTCCCCACCCACCTCTTATCACAATAGAATATTCTCCTTTTCTTCTCCCTATCCTTAGCCTCAGTCAACAACAATAATCTATGGTCAGATACACTCTTATAGAAACTATGCACCTCAACATCTCGGTGATCCATGAGCCAGTCCCAGGAGCAGAAAAGTCTATCAATCTTTTATTCAATGAATCCCTCTTGCTCTCTATTGTTGGCCCATGTGAATTGGTGCCCTTTCAACTGAATCTCAGCCATTCCCATGCTAGCAATAAACTCATTGAACATCCTGCAGCCCCTACTGGTTTTAGGTCTACCTCTTTGCTTCTCCCATGGTTCTCTAATCTCATTCCAGTCCCCTCCCAACAGCCATTTGTTCTCTCACTTAGCCTTCATCATATCAAGAGTGCACCATTGTTCTTCTCTAGTAGCTCTATCATACTAGTATAAACCAGAATGAGCCAAACAGAGGGTTTCCCAGGCTGTATCCCCACTTCAACTTCAAAACAAAAAGGATGTTCAGTAATCTGCTTAACTGTTACATTGTTGTCCCATAACAAGAGAATACCTCTACTGAGCCCTTGAGGATCAACAGCCCTCCATCTGTTCTTAAAGCCAATCTTATTACAAACGGAGTTCACAAAATCTTTTTTCTTTTTTTTT